CGAGCCGGCTCGGCTTGCTAAGATTCGAGCCGAAAGCTCGGGTTGAGCCTAAATTTTTTGACCGAGCTTTTGCTCGGCTCGGACAAAAAAAAACTCGAACCATTTTTACTCGAGTCGAGCCCTAGCAAAAAAGTTTCGGCTTGCAACTCGACTCGTTGACACCCTTAACTTACATTTAAAAAATTAAAAAAATAAAATAAAATAAAATCCTTCGAACATTTAGCCAACTGTCCTTCTCTTCCCCAAACCCAACGCCGGCCGTCTCCCCAATTCCATCTACCTCTAACCATCTCACGACTAGTTTTTGATATGAGTTTGAATTAAATGTTGGAATAGATACAGTGATTGTGTTAGATGATATACCGATATTTAACAACTTAAGCATTACATCAAATTATTCAATATGATATTAGAGCACATAAAAGTTATAGATTCAATCCATTTAAATGAATTATTGATGTGTTAAGACTATGGTGAGGGGGGGGCGGAAAATCCCAAGGTGAGGGGTGTGCTTAAGACATTTTAAATGTTAAACCTAACCGTATCCCTTCTTTTGTCACACAATTTTACTTGATTAGTTGGATCCAAAATCAAGTTAGTTGGCTTTTGCTTTCTGCTTAATAAATTTGTTTGAACAAATTATAACATGTGTATTAAATCCTAGGCATCAAAGAGTTGTCCAGTCGACACACAAAAAGAAAAGAATACGTATATAGCCATCTCTCCATCTTGCTAAATAAAAAAAGCTCTTTATTGTATGGTTAGATTTAACTATCACCGATTATATGGATTAAACGTCAAAAATTTGGTGGACATCAACATCTTATGGTTCCATCACCAAACCCATCAAGAACAGCTTCAAAATGTTCTTCATATGGTGTATGCATGAACTGACTTACCACACTAATAGTAATGGCAATATTTGGTCAAGTATGGAACAAATAAATCAACTTTCCCACCAATGTTTGATATATAGTTGTATTCACTAGAACATCTCCATCTTTTATCTCCTATCTACCCATGCCGGTTTCTATAGTAGATCAAGTATGTATTTTTGCTGATAGACAACAATACCTTTCTTAGAAAGAGCCACCTCCATTCCAAGAGAATAACTTTTTCAACCTTGAGCTAAGTACTTTTTCAACCTTTAGTAAGGAACATATCAACATAAGCTATCAAAACTGCTATCTGAACTTCAGATGATTTTTTCATAGACATGGTATGATCGGTTTGGCCTCGATAGTATCTATGCCTCTTCACCAAATTAGTGAATTTTTTGAACCGCACTCTTGGAGACTGTTTACGACCATATAGCGACTTTTTCAATTTGCATATCTTCATTCCAAAATTGTACTCAAAGCCAGGTGGAGGATCCATAAAAACTTCCTCTTCGAGATCACCAAGTCTAGCTGTTGTAGTGGCCAATCTAAATTGATCGTGATAGACGGGAGCACTCTTATGGTTTTTAATTTTGCAACATGAGCAAAAGTTTCACAATAATCAACACCATAAGTCAGAGTAAAGCCTTTTGCTACTAACATCTTGATGTGCCATATAATTTCAACATCACTATCCGGTGGTTGGTTTCATATCAAGTAGTATCGAGCAATACGTGATCTTTGAATTCCCAACAGTTGGTATCAAAGATTTTGGCCGTAATTAACACAACAGTATGTGAAATGATTTAATATTAAATTAATAATTACATTCTGGAATGAAATGAAATCTAGTTCGAACAAAAACAGTTAGAGACAAAAGCCAAATTAAAGGATCCTTTTGGCAGTTGTATTGGTAAACTAATTAATCAACATTTATTAGTCAAGAACCAACCAGAATTATTAATTGTAAATGGGATTGAGCATGCATGCCAAACTTTTAAACCAAATGAAAATTGTGCAATACTTATTATTCTTGTTTGACTTGAAATCAACATGTTTGGCAAATAAGTAACTTTTTTTTATATATTTTTAAGAATTGATCGGCATGGCCAAAACGTGAATGCAATACGTTTAATAACCAACCAATTAACAACATTATAGAATAATAACATTTTCAAATTATTTATTGGTCCTATGGTTTTCAAATTATTTGTTATGAGAATTTAAGAGCTTGCAAGGGCAGTTCACCGTTGTGTTTATTAATTGTTGACAGGTTGCTACCATAACTAACTTAGTTAATCTCTTCAAACTTGTAAATATTGTGAAGTTTTTTCAAGTTAGGCCGTCGTTGGTTCACCTACAAATTTAGATACGTGGTCCTGCACTCCTCTACTTTAGACTTTTGGTCTATGCATTCACATTTTATCTAGGGATAATTGCAATAGAGGCTCCAAACCTTTCAAATAGTTGCAGACTTTCTCCTGCCCTTTCATTCGTCGCAGCTGTCGCCTCTAACCTTTCCAAACGTTGCGGCTAAAGCCCTAATGGATGGTTCCATCCAAATGTCTATAGTTGACCAATAAATTGAGTTTGACCACATTTTTAATATTTTTGTAAAGGTAAAATGGTAACTTTCCGTTTACTACATTAAAATAAGTTAAAACTAAATTAGAGAAACAAAAAAATGTAAAGAAAAATACCCCCCCCCCCAAAACCCACCATCACTGTACCTATCGTCGTCGATTGCCATCATTGGCCAAAACCCACCACCATCACCCCCTCACACGCAGGAAACTAAAATCCATGTCTTATTACAGAAATCACCACCTAACAATTTGCAGCTGCTCTGGCTTCCTTATCTCAACCCCTTTCTCTCCCAGCCTTCTCAACGCTACATTAGCCACATAAACACACAATTGACCCTGCCCTCTGTCGTTGAAGTTCAATGCAATAGCCACATAAACACACAATTGACCGTGCCCTCTGTCGTTGAAGTTCAATGCATAACTTAAGGGATTATACTAGAATTTCCCGATCTTGTTGAACTAGCAGATGAATGTCTTCCATTTCAGACAGGTCATTAACTTCGATTATTCTCTCACTTTCTTCAATGCTTTTATTCCCTTATCACATTGACCATCTTTGGTAGTCTTATGTTATTCCTCTGATGTCGAAATCTACCCCCAGTTATGGAATTCCTGAGACCTAAAACACCAAAAGCAACAGCAGTCGTGGCTGGAGAATGCTCATTTCTGTAAATCACCAATTAAGTCTGTTTTCTTTACAGGAGAATTTTGGGATGATCTGATTTGATTTTAGGGATTTTGGGGGTTGGTGTGGGTGTGGGTGTGGGTGTGGGGTAGATAGTTTATTTATTTTATTAGTTTTTAAAAGATAATGTTATAAATATAAGATTACCATTATATCCTTTTAAAATTTATAAAAAAAATGGTCAAACTCAATTTCTTGATTAACTAACAGACAATTGGATGGAATCCATTCATTGGGGCTTTAGCTGCAACGTTTCGAAATGTTAGAGGTGACGACTGTAATGAATGAAAGGTCGGGGAAAAGTCTGCAACTATTTAAACGATTTGGAGCATCTGCTGCAATTTTCCCTTTTCTTTTATCTATAATCTAGTTTTACATAAAAAAAAATGTGATGCGTTGGTAGGAATCTTAACGAGTCGAGTTGAGCCGAAACTTAAGACTCGGGCTAAGTTAAAGTAAAAATAGTTCGGGCTTTTTTTGACCCGAACTGAGTCTAACTTTTGGCTCGGGCCTTGTCAAACCTAGTCAGATCGAGCTGATTTTTTTTTTAAATACAGGCAGAACAGTGCTATCTACAACTGCCTTGATTATATGTGTGTGTGTGTGTGTGTGTGTATATTACTTTTTTTAAATACATGTAGTTGCCTGGCAAAGGCTTAGTTGCCTCATCGAGCCACATGGGCTGGTCCGGGCTCGGGCTAACACCCCAAAACGAGAAAGGGGGGCGATGGAATACACTATTGTGGTAGTCGAAACGGCGGATTCCCCTGCTACAATACAATACCTTGCTCCGCTCGACCTAAGCTTGGCTCGATTTCACCGCGCCATGAGCCAAGCTTGTTAGGGCTTTTCTCAAGCTGAGCTATGGGTAGTCCGAGCCAACGAATGATATTGACACCCCTATGCATTGGACATGGTAGGTGAAGAATTTGAGACAAATCTTGTTAGTTACATTAAGCTTATGTTTAGACTCTGTTTTTATAAAAACTCATTTTTTTAACATTCAATTTTAACCACACATTTTCCTATAAAATAATTGTGCACATAAATCGAAAATTTTTCCTTATTTTTTAACCACACATTCTCCAACATTTTACTATTCCAAAATACATTATCTTGAAAAGATAGATCCCAAACAAGGACTAAATATTTTGAAAAGTAGTTTGAATTGCGTAATAAAATAAAAGCTTCCCAATTAATTAGCTAGAACTTTAAGGATTATGCTAGAAACATCGGTTGTGTACTAGAAAGCGAGTAATATACATAAACACAATCCAATTTAATGAGAAAAAGTTGTGATTCATCAAAGGTTTTTTATATATTGATCTAAGGGTCCGTTTGATTGTAAGGGTGGAAAATGGATGGAAAGAAAATGTTTTACAGGGAATTGATTTTCTTAGAAAATGATTTACTGGGAATTGTAATTAATTGTGTTTGATTTGTATAATTTTCCATGGAAAATGTTGAAAATTTGGTGTCCATTTGACTTCGTTTTTTATGGAATTTGTCCATTAAAATGATAATTTTTTCTACTATTGAGTCTAAATTTGTTCACATTGTCAAAAAAAAATTTTGAAAAAAAAAA